ATATTGAAGCTGTCCTACTATGCCAAAAAAAAAAAAAAAAAAATAAAAGCAACCTTGGAAAACTCTTATTCCTAGATAAAGGGTGAAACAAAGAAAAAAACCTCTGGAGTGGTTATAGCATTTATGTCTGATCCAGGATTGCCAGGTTCTGATTACTGTACCTAGGCTTGTTAATATACGTAAAACTAAAAAGCAAATTGTATAAAAATGAAAGATAGTTCCAGAACCAAAGATGAGAGCCCAGATCTCCCCCAACCCATCTGCCTGCCTAACGACCTGCTGCCATCAGTTAATGACTGTGCGGTACTGGTCCTGTTTCCCTGCTCATGCCTGGTAAAGATGTTTTGAGTAGGGGATTGGAAAAAAGGGAAAAAGGAGAGAGATAGGAAAAGGCAGAAAAAAACCCACACACTTTAATCCCAGGCAAAATCTTTATGCCCCCTTTTAAAACTGTAGCCATGTGATTCTTATTATCCTTTTGATATAATGCCCTTGCTGTATTTAAAAAAGAAATTGTTTCAAAAGGAAATTAGCCATCATCTGAACATGCTCAATGGATTAGGAACTTCAGGGATTCTGGGCACAATTGCACTTAAATTCTGGATTCTCAAACCAGAACAATTTTGATAACATGCAGGAACAAGCTAATGCAATGCCTGCTAAGTCTTATGTGCATTAGGATTAGGTATCTGGAGGGGGCAAGGATGGTGGTGTTTGTTTGGTTATAGATATCCAAAGTTCACACAAGTTTTTCTTCTTTGTGTCTGTCTCTTATCTGATTTCCTGCATAACAGTGAAAAGGGCTTCCATTCATGTTTTACAACTTAAAAACATTGATGCATCTTGCTTCAATTTTAATAACTGTTGGAATCAGAGTACAGTTTCAAAAAGCATCTTGAGTTAAAAATTGTCAATGGTTAAGAATCTATCACAAACTTTTCGAAAGAAATAATTTACCTTTGAGGATTTTTTTTTTTAACTTACAAATTGAAATAGTCCAGCTCCTTTTTTCTTTTCTTAAAGACAAACAGATGAAATTCCCAAAAATTGGTGTAAAATAAGCTTTAATACTTTCAAGATTCTTTGGACCCTTTACAATATCCTACACCCTTTCTGAACTGTTGACCTTTACAGTTAACAGTCATCTTCCAGAAGTCTTATTCATACCAAGTAAAGCAGTTCTTCTTCTGCAATAATATTATTTTAACAAAAAAAGGCATACTTTTATTGTGATTCCAGTTTCTATTTAGTAAAAGTGTATCAGCTTCGTGTCAAGCCTTATGATGCCATACGCATGTTCCAATATTTAAATGCAAGTGAAAAATGTCTTGATCCCTCCATCCTGTCTCTGTCATTGCAAAAAGTGAGACTAAATGAATTGCTAACCTGTTTCTGGATCCACTGAGAAATACGGTTGTCCTTGGAGGATGCTGTACACCACTTTGGCACTGTTTCCGTAGTTGGCGTCATCAGCATCTGTGGCTGTCACTTGAATAACAGATGTACCTAAATGGGTACCAAACAAGGAATCAGTAGATTTTAAGAAAGCACCTACTTGTTGTAAACCACACACAGTGGTTTCAGTATTGAATTCAGTAAAAAATCGAACAGCATCCAGTGGACAAATCCAGTGTTATCCTATCCAAGCAAACAGTAAAATAAAGTCTCATTGTCCTCGTGACTAAAACTAAAATCATTAACACTTAAGTTTCATGCTTCAATTAAACATGAATAAATGCACAGGGATTGACACATCTTTGAAACCCAACACAACATTAGGTTTTTTGGTGATCAAACAGGTTTGAAGATTGTTCTCTGGTAATAACATGACCGCAGTTGAAACTGTTGATTTAAAAGGTAGGTAGCTGCTGTGTGAAAAGTACCGTTATGATTCTTAAGTTTGGCTTAATCAGTAAATTAACCTAAAGCAAATTTCCCCATACTCATTTTCTGCTTAGATGACAACCTCCAAATATTGCAAGTCAGATTGAATAAAAAATTTAGTCTCATGCTAACTAGTTTTTAAGATGCTTTTAAGAAATTAGCTTGGTTTTGCAATAAGAAATTCTGGCTTTTTTTCTCTCTTGGTCAAAGTTATCCACCTATTTGGCAAATAATTGCCATTAAGTGATAAGTACATTTGTTCAGCATTCACTTATTTTGCATCAAAATGTCTTACCCATGTCTTGTGATCACAATGAGGAGAATATAGGCTATATGGGATTAAGAGCGCTGTGAGCCAATACATTTGATGTAGTTTATGGATTAGAAGCAAATGAAAGCTTCTGTAAAGACTTTCTTATAAGATATATAAAAATACAAAACTGTTCTTCACAAGCTTTTATTTCTAAGCAATTTTCAAGATGTCAGGATACATTTTGCTAACACAATCTAGAGCTGACCAATGTCTGGATAAATGCAGGCAGTTCAATAGCTAGAAGTGTAAACATCCTTAACTCCTTGCCAAGGGCAGAAGGCTGACTGAGAAGTTGTTCTTTACCCTATTTTTGGCTGGGTATTTTTTATGTAGCTCACTTTCCTTAGAAGAAAAAGGTCTAGTGAGCACTGTCCACTTAAATGATATAATTTCCTATTCTTTTTTTTTCTTCACCCTCAGCCTCTCTACTTTGAAGTTCACTCAAAAAACTTGCAGTCAAATATCTGTCTTGACTATAAATTTAGAAGATGCTTAATTACCTGTGACTAATGGAATTGAAGTGAAACATGTCTACTGTCGCTCTTCAGTGTATACAAGGGATTGGGGAAAGTAGAAATCCAGAGTAATCAAAACAGATTTATGAGGGCACATGTTATTATTAGGTCATGTTAGATGCATGTGTTTTCTCATAGTATGTAATACTGCTTTACACATAAAGTTTTATCTACATAATAGTAATAGTAATTCCCGCTATTTCAGGTTATCTGAACAGCATGACAAGAGGGGAGGAATACTTCTTTCTCTGCAACAAACTAACAGAAAAAAGTTGTAAAAATGCTTTGTCACAATTCATCAAACTCTGAAGAAGATTTTTGCCATCAGCAATCTAGATTACTTTTTGCCTGGTTAAACAGTTAGAGGTCATCTGTGTGCCAAGCTAGGCTGTAAAGATAATGCTGATGAAGGGAATATTTAAGGACAATTTTATCGCTAACAGTGTCCAGCAGAACTGCTCATCTGGACAAAAAATGAAAACAGTTTTTTTGAGAAATGTAGAGTTCCATGGGTCCTATATGCTTTCAAAAAAGCATATAAGTTAAATCCTGTGCCTCCTCAAGACTAACAGGGAAAGGAGAGTCAGTATCACTTGCTAGCCTATAAAAAACGTAAAAGTCATCAGTGGAATCATACGCTTATACTGTGAGCCACTGTAGCATCTAGAAGTTATGAATCAGGGGAAATGTATATGTCCATCCCACTATCCCCCTCAAAAAATCCAAAAGATCTTCATCAGGAAAACTTATTGCTGTGGTCTCCTGATCTAGGCACTGTCTTGGGATTGACACAAAAGTTTGAGTATGGTCATAACAACTGAATGCACATTAACTTCCTTTCCCCAGCATACTGTTTGGATGAAAAAAAGAATGCTGAAGCCTGTTTTGGAATGAAAAAATAGTGTTATAATAGCTGCTACTTCCTAGTAAACTAATAGTACAATTGTGAAAAATTATTAACAAAAGTATATCCTCAGAAAATGTATTGTCAGCATGCAGTTCACTCTCTTCTCTGCCAACAGTCTGCTGTGTCATAAAGGAGGATCCTCATGAATGATAGACAATGCTTGTGCAGCTTTTTTTTATGAGGAAAGAAACTTCTCTTAGATTTTGGGGTCTGAAATTAAACTAGAAAAGGCAGTGAAAAAAAAGAACTCAGCATTAATTATGAAGTAATTGGTAATGAGGCAAAGAGTTTCGATCTTTTTAATTAAAGACAACTATGCCCTAACCATACCCCCACCCAAATGGTAACCACAGAATGTGGATGTATTTATTAATTTGTTTATTTACAGTCTAGATTACCTCACAAGCAGCCTTTTGCCCACATTTGTTAGCAGAAGTCAGCACAATTTAAAATATGAATCAAGATGCTAGGTTAGAAATTAGAAGCTTTCTGAGATACTTCCACAGCTTCCAACATGAACAGGAATGAAGGACTGAAGTAGAACCTGGGAAGAACTGGGGATAGGAGGAAGATGTTTTAGTTTTTGACTTTGTTTCTCACCATCCAACTCTATTTTTAATGGGCAATAAATCAAATTAATTTTCCCAAGTGGAGCCTGTTTTGCCCCAATGGTAATTGGTAGGTGATCTCCCTGTCTTTATTTCAATCCATGAGCTTTTCCATCTTATTTTCTCCCTCTGTGCTGTTGAGGAGGAGGAGTGAGAGAGCAGCTGGATGGGCCTCTGGCAGCCAGCCAAGATCAAACACACCACACAAGCATGCTGGTGTGAAAGATGACAGAGAAAATGTGAGAATGACTACAAGAGCAGTCTAAGGAGTAATAACATCACTTTTCTGCAAAACAAAGTGAACTTCAATCCAATCCTGCCCAGCAAGCCTATCCTATCTCAGGATGGGAACTAAATCTCAGAGTTCTCAAGAGGTATGCCTTATTTTCTTTTCCCTTTTTTTTTTTCTTTATTTTTTTCCTTATTTGTTTTGTTTTGATGAATTCTCAGTATTTCTTTCACACAGCTTGCAGATTGTTTTGTTGGCTTTGTCTCTCAATGATTCTCTCTATGTCTGCATACAATGAGCAAGGAATAGCAGTTTGCTGAATGTGTTGAATTTGCCAAGCTTTATGAGTGCTATAGCATCAGAATTTTGTTTTTTTTTTCCTTTTCTTCTTTGCTTAGATATACATTTGAGTCTGGAAGCTTAAGCACTTCAACAACACATCTGTGATGATGGGGTCTTAATGTAAGGGTGGAAAAATGTGGAAGGATAATAGTGAAGATAACCTGAGAGAAGACAAATCTAAACTAAATCTGTGTGCATGTGTTTGTGTGTGTGTATGTATGCATGCATGCATGTATGTGCATGCAAGAATGTAGAGTCCAAAAAGGAAAACTGAATTAGAGAGGGCATCACTCCATATCTAGGACAGTATAACTCATTGTCAGAATTGAGTTCCACTGACACAGATTTCCAGAATTCATGAAGACTGAGACATAAATTTGAAAAAGCATTTGAAATGGGAATGCTTTTCTGAATTATGTTTAAAATACTTTCTATTTTTTTGTGGTATTCAGTCTTCGAAAGAGTCCCTCTCATATAATTAAGTCTCCTAGTGTGATGGGGCATTGCAAAGCTGAAGTAAATAGCCTGCAGAAGGTTGCTGTAGTGCAAAAGAGGTCTTCCACTAGATGAGATAGGCACAAATTTTGCTACCTTTTCATGTAAGTCATAGTCTTCAGCATGCAACTCTTGTTCCTTCTTGGCTTCTTTGGTTGACATGAATTAAAACAACTTCTGCCTGTCAGAAGAATATATCTGTGTCTATTTGGAAATGCTATTTTTACTGATAACTTTTTAATGTAACCTTAGTTTTGAACAGTAATCTCCAGCTTGGGTGAAGAAAATGAGCAGATTATGTTGTTAGCATAGTATGTTTCAAGATTCCACCGTGAACGCTGGATCAAAAAATAACAGATAGTGATTTAAATATCATTCAGAACCATGATGTTTCTTTTCCAAAGGGAATTCTGTAACTTCAGAACACATTTTGAGTTTGATTATGGCATTTTTTATAAAAGTAGGATTTCAGATCAATTAAAACTTTTGATTTTAAGAAAAAAGATGATGTTTGGTTTAGACTTTGGCCTTCTAATATAACATTTTCAAAAAGTAATTTGGAAATAAAAAAATCTGAAAATGCTGAAACAGGATGTTTTTTTACATTACCAGACAGCTTCCTTTCCATATTTTCTCCAAGTTGACTTCTGTCAAAATTGGCAATTATTGAAAAATTCTGATTTTTACAGATAACTTATGTGTGTGTGTATCTAGCTCTGTTTAAGAGAGAGCTCCACTCAAAGCATAAAGGCTGTTTCATTTTTAGAAATAGAAGACCAGCTGGGTAAGTGGAGAGGCAGGAAGGACTTTGTCTCCCTAAAAGAGAAGCTCTTGTGCTTGCTTCCTGTTTTCAAGCACAATGACAATCTGCTGTTCATCAAGTTTATTCATGGAGGGAAGATTTTAGAAGTGGATTACTTTTACAAGCTGAAAAGATTGGGAGAGCTCTGGAAAACCTCTGGAGGCAAAATTAAGAATTTTGTTTGGCTAAAAGCCTAAAGAAGATAAGTGGACAGATAGTTTGCTCGGACAGCATGGCTCCAAAAATTATTTTCATGCAGACATACTATGGAGATGCCCCTGCTGAAGACATGAGTGACATTTTAAGTGAGCTACAGAAATATTGAGAGGTATTAAACCACTTTTGTTTTTGAAAGCAGGTTGTTCTCTCTGGATAGGACTCTGTGCTTAGGCAAAGAACTGGAGAAACTGT